CTTATGTTACAGCGTGGCCATTGCCCCCTCTTTGGGTTCAGAGGGTCCCAATAACCTATAAAAGCTCTGTTTGAAATTCGGTTCCATGAATAGAAACAAGGAAAAGAAGCTCTAGTTCCCAGGTGAGGGGCTCCCTACTGACAAACCCAGGACAGAAGCTCTAGCCAGTTCCCAGCTGCAGAGAAGGGCTAATCCTCGCAGCGACCCTCCAAATGCACCTCAAAGCCCACGCTAAGTAACTGAGGGCTTCTTAATTACAGAGAATCTTGAGCAATGGAGGAGGGGGAGACATGCCGACAGTAACTGTGTGGGGGAGGCACCTGGTGCCGCCACCCCCCCACCACCCCCCCGCCCCGCGCAGGCAGTCCCCACCCCACCTGCCACCGTCTGGCGTTGGAATGTCAGAGTCAGGCCGTAAGCCGCCCACGCCTGCATTTGTCCTTGGCAGAAACCATCATGAATGGCACGCAGTGAAAACACAAGAAAACACGCTGCAGTGGATTGTGATCATTAAACCTGCAATTGGCACAGCAGTAGCCCAGCTGGGGAACCAGGCTGGGGCGGGGGTGGGGCACGGGCTGCTGGGCCTTGGAGCTCCAGTCCACACCTGGGCTGTCACGGGAGCCAGCCCACACCCCACAGGACAGTCGTCCCAGCTGCTCATAACTGCACAAACCAGGACACTCACTGGCCAGGGTTCTCCCGCCCAGGGAATAAAAGCCCCCAGCCGTGGGCTACACACACTCCCCCAGGGGAGGGCCCCACCTGCCCCAGAAGGCTGCTTTCTGAAGCTTTCACAGCTCAATGGAAACACACACCTGCACAGCCCGCCCAGGCACTTGCCCAGAGCAGCACGGGGCAAGCCACGAGCCGGGGGCTGCGCAGCGCACTGCACTCCAGGGCATAGACTGTGCTGCTCTCAGCCCTCGCAGAGCTCCCAGTCCAGTAAACAGGCTTGCAGGGGTGCTAACGAGGTCTTTATGGTCACAGGGCCAGTTCTGAGGACGCTGTGGTGGGTAGAATTGTGTCCCCAAAATGACATGTTGAAGTGCTAACCCTGGGCACCTATGAGTGTGACCTTATTAGGAAATAAGTGCTTTGTAGCTATAACACAATATGACTTGTGTCTTTATGGAAAAGGGGACAGCCACAGAGTGACAGCACAGAGTATTAGGAAGGCTCAGGCTCCCCCAACAGAAGCCACGTCAGTAATCCATGGTCCTTGGGTGTGTGTTCCCCAGAACAAATATGGTTGTTTACTTCAACAAAAGACTTCAAGACTGTAGAATAAGTCTTATGGTCCCTGGAAACAAACAAACAAAAAACATTTAAATTTTCTTATTTATTGAATATTTGATTTACTAAAACCTACATGTGTATTTGTTGCAAAGAAGTGTGATGGGGGAATGTATGGAAACTTTCAAGCATGAAAAGATATCATAGTAGGATAAAATTCTGGCCAAAATTTGATGTCTATAATAAGTTTAAGGGAAAATGTTCTGATGAAGATTTTGGACTGGTAAAGAACATGTTTATGTGATTTTTTTTTAAATGACTGACCATGGGCATCAAAACCATTTTGGTATTGGGGCGCCTGGCTGGCTCAGGTCTGTGGAGCATGCGACTCTTGATCTTGGGATGGTGAGTTTGAGCCCCACGCTGGGTGTAGGGCATACTTAAATGTAAAAAAAAAAAAGCCCAACATTTTGGTAATTAGCTTCTTGGATACGTTGACAAGAATAACAGCTTTACTTCAAAATATCAGTATTTACCACACCAGAAATTCCATTCCTTGCAATTATTTACATTTGTGATTTCTTACAAAATTTAAATGTTGACTTCAAAATGTGCAAGCAGTTTGACAACTTTTCAAAATTCATTCAGGGAAAATGAGAGCCAAGACTCTGAAGACCCCCACTCCATTCACACCAGCCACAGACTGGTCAGGCTTAAGACAGGAGCGAGCCCCCCCCCACAGAAGACGCGGGGCTCAGAAGAATGAAGCAAAGTCCTGCCAGTGTCTGAGAAGGACAAGCATGGAACTTTGCAGGAGACAGTATCCGTCAGGGGTGTTCTGACCTGGCACTGATCAGGAGCAAGGTCTGTGGAGGGCAGGGGCCAGAGGCAGGGAGGGCAGCTCAGGCCAGGATCTACAGAATGGAGGGTCTTGCCGGGAAGTGAGGCGGGGCAGACAGGTGAGCAGAGTGTGCTCTGATGGGTCAGGGACCACTAAGAAGACTGGGGCACCACCACGTCATGGCCTCACTGTGGAGCAGGATTCCGACGTCACCCGAGGGTCCCCAGGAAGAAGGCGGGCTGGCTGGGCGTGTGCAGGACACACTGGTCTGGTGGGAGGGGCAGGCATGCAGGCCAACGCTAAGAGGCCATTCCAATGTCTGTTCATGAGGATTCTTGGCACGGTTTGAAACTGGGTTGGGAGTTAACTTTGAATGGACACCCAGGGGCTGCTTTGATGTCCTCACACATATGTGGGCTCATCAGCTCTGGAAGATCTGGAGTGCCTAATCAAGACTTGCTCTGATGTTACGCATCATGCCTCATCCAACCACATTAATGAAGCCTCTACTTATGTTCAAGGCACCAGAACACAGGGCCAATACCAAATCCTTTCTTGGAGCAAAGCTCGCCACAAAAGCAAGTAAGTACGCAAACACTCAGACTAACAAAGCTTCCAGTGGAGATGACATCATGCCACTGAACAAGAAAGACCAAGGACCACAAACTTACAAACGAAAGCAGGGGGGTAAAAGAAGGACCTGTGGGGTGGCCCCATGGGCTCCCCCTTGGCCCTTCCGCACTGGCCCACGTTCCTGGTCCCTCTCCATGGAGCAACAGTCTGCCTGACCCAGGAGATGGGAACTGCCCACATCAACAGCCTGTTCTGCATTTTACCCAAATTGGATGCATCGTCAAATAGATGATGTGTCATTAGACCCAGAACACTTAAAATACGAATGCTCCTCCGAAGTGGGATTATCTTTGCCCCTCCCATTCAGTGCCTAAGTGCCCACCCTAAACCCTGCGCCCTCGGCCAGGTGCACACTGACCAGAGAACCAGGTGACAAAGCCCACCTCCATGAGGTCCCTGCAGCTCGGCCTTTCTGCCCCCACGAAGGGCACTTAGGCTGGGTGGTGAGTAAGGGCTGGCCACATCCAGGCCTCACCAGCTCGCCCCCCCCAACCCTGCAGCAGACGGACCCAGCAGCCGGGGTGCCCAGCTCTGTGGACTGGGTCTGAGGGGGGTGCTGCAGCCCAGGGCCCACCTGCCTCCCTCTGCCTCCTTCTGAGGCCCTGTGTGGTGCCCACAGAGACAGCTCACAGACAGCTGGCCCACATCCCACAGCTGTGAGGTGGCTTTTCTTCGGCTCCAGCTACCTCCACCCACCCAGCCCTGGCTGCTACTCTGAGCTTTTCAGCACCCCCAGAAGAGGAGAAACTGCACCCAATTTCGGCTTAGTTGACTCGGGTGGCCTCAAGGGCCAGCGTTTTGCACAAGATGAGGCTGACCACCCAGCTACCAGCTTGAGGCCTATTTCTCCCACCACTTCCATGCCCCCACATGCTTGGGCGTCACGTGCCGGGGCCCAGGGTCACAGTGACCTGACCCAAGCACAGGATATTGGGAATTAGTGTCCCAGTGAACGCTTGGGCTTTGCATGCCTTGCCACAAGCCCTGGCTCATTCACACAAGGAGCATTTATGGAGCACCTGCTGTGTACCTGGCCAAGCAAGGCTGTGAGGATAGGGCTGGCTACATGTGGAAGCTGATAGCCTGGCCAGTAGCAACTGCTACTGACTATGGGGCTCTGACCCAGAGCTCTGCTGGGAGGGGGGAAAGGACCATGCCCATCTCCTGTGGAAAGGCTGGTAGGGGTGCTATCTGGCCGTTTGCCAGGTTTGGGAGAGTATCTGGGATGTCCAGACAACCATGGGCCCCAGCTTGGGGCAAGGTCCCCCAGGTGCTGGAGCAAGTCCAGCCCCTGGACCATAAATGGGGGAACGAAGGGGTTAATCAGGAGACAGCAGGACCGCTGAATTGTGGGGAGGGGTTGTCTGGTCTTTGGGGCTCCTTTGCCCCAAGGCTGGCTGGCAAGGTCGGAATGAAACCGTAATTGTGGCTCCCAGCACGGCATCCATGAGACCCTCGCTCAAGGGAGGAGGCAGACCAGACCCCAGCTGCTCAGACGGCCCTGCCCGGTCTCCTGCCCCCTCTCTCCCCTCTCCGCTCCCCCACCCCCAACCGCGAGCCTCTGAGCCTCTGCAGCCGCCACCCCCAACGAAGACTGCGGCAGCCCCGCCCCTGGGCGGCGGGGGAGGGACCCGAGGGCCCCCGCGGAGAGTCCACGACGCACCCAGAGCCCTCCTAGCAGTGGACCACGGCCCTAGATCTCCGGGGGCCCAGGTGGGAGCACACCAGTCAGCAGCCTGCGGGGGCGTCGCTCAGGACACCGGCCACACAAGGGGCCCCGCCTCAAACGGTGCCCGCCGCGCACAGGCTGAGCGGCCTGCAGAAGGCAGCCAACGTCCCCGAGGGACAGAGTCCCCAAGAGCGCGCAGCCCCAAGTCGTGCCCCAGCGCCCGCCAAAGTGAGCAGGGCCTTGCGAGTGCCAGGACCCCCGGTCCTCCCAGGCACCGGGTCCCCCGCTCGGGTGACACTGCGGCAGGCGCGCGGGCGGCACGCCGAGGGCGGGGCCGCGGGGGGGCGGGCGCGTTGCCATGGCGGCCGGGCGCGCGTAGCCGGAGCCGGAGCCCAAACCCGAGCCCGAGCCTGAGCGGCGCGCGGAGCGGGAGCCCGAGCCGGAGCCGAGCCCGAGCCGGAGCCGAACCCGAGCCCGAGCCGGAGCCCGAGCGGCGCGCGGAGCCGGGCGCAGGGCCCGCGGGAAGGCCGAGGCCCGGCGGGCGCGGCGGGCAGGGGCGCCGGCCGGAGCGCGAGGCCCCCGGCGCTGGCCAGTCCGAGGCGCCGCCGGCGCGCCAGCAGGATGCAGGCCATGGACACGGCCACCGCGGATTTGTACGAGGAGGATGGCAAGGACCTGGCGGGCTACGACTTCCAGCCGCTCCCCACTCTGCCGGAGGATGAGGTGAGCCCCGGCGCCCGCGGTGGGTCCTGCCTTCCCCCACCTTATAGGGAGCGTCCAGGGGAAGATGCCCCCGCCCCCCAGGTGTCCTGCCCCTGGCCCAGGTCTTGGCAGCCGCTCTCAGCAACCCCCCACCGTCCTTTAGCATTTTCGCTCAGAGAGGACAGGCCCCCTGGAATGCCACATGGGACAGCAGTGGATGGGTGGTCCCTGAAGAAGTTGGTGCCCTGTGGGGTGGGGGGCTGGGGGGCTCCTGACTATAAATGTTGGATGGATGAGCGTGGTTTGGGGCATCGTGAGGGGGAGGAGGGGAAGGAGGCGGATCGCTGTTTTCCTCCTTGCCCGTACCCGAGGAGGTCAGCCGGAGGCACCAGCCAGCAGAGCCCAATCTGGCCAGCACGTTCAGGAGCTGGGGTGGAGGTCTGGGAAGCCCCCCAGAACAGAGGGCTGCTTCCTGCACACAGAGGACAACAGGGGCCTCCACTCAGGATCCTGAGTCCTGAGGCATCCCCCTACCCAAGGCTCAGAGGGACCAGCAGTCTCCATCACATGGAGCTTCTGGTCATTCAGTGGACAGGTGCCCACAGAACCAATTTGCCTGCAACTCTGGCTTCCCTAGCACACCCCACAGGCTGTGGCTTGGGGTCAAATGAACAAGTCAGGTCCCTCCATGGTGATAGGTGACCCCCAGAGGATGCAGCCACTCCCAGGAAAACCCAAAGCTATGGGGTCTGGGTGGATGAAGAACCTTCCAAGCCTCCAGCAGGCAAATGCCCCAGTCTCCGGGCTTCTGTGCTCACAGCTGAGGAATGCTGGCATCATGCAGCCATTCATGGGATGGGCTGTAACCAACATGGTGCTGATGAAGACCCTCCGATACCCACCTGGGCAAGGCTGGTGGCCAAGAGTTAGGCACGGCCACCATCCTCCTGGAGTATGTCAGGGGGTTCATAGGGGCCACAGCTGCAGTCGCCAGGGTCTTCCACCTCTGCCCCCCCCCGGTTTTGGGGGAGAGCTGGCTATAAGGACAGAGTTCGTGCTGTGGAAGTACCATCTTGGGCAGCAGAGTCTGCCATAGGAAGCCAGGGGCTGGCCAGCCGAGAGCCACTGAGGCTGTACCTGAGGACCGGTGTTGCCCCCCCCCCCCCCCCGCCCCCCCCACCGCCCTGGTGGCCTGGATTTGGTGAGAGGCAAGGCTGCAGAGAGGAGAAGCAAGAGAATGAATAAGACTTTGGGCATCTCCATGGCTTTGATGGAAAATGAAAGAGCGCACCCAGCTCACATCCATCAGAGTATGCCCCCAGAGGACACATTTCAGCGTATCCGTTAGAAGACTCACCTCCAAAATCACCATCCAAAGCAGACATAGAACGTGGTTCTTCATACAGAACCTTGTGTCAGCCACCCCACACTTTGAGGGCCTCCTTTGTGCCCCGTGCAGAGTCAGTGGCTGGTGCCAAATAAACAGAACAGCAGGGCCGGGACTCAGACCCAAAGCTGGATCCCTGCCCCACACAGGAGTGTAGGGGCACTGTGTGCACTGGCGCCTTCTCTGGGTGGGGTTCCCTCATGCCCCTCTGGGTCGGAGCAACCCCCCAGCTGTGCACAGTGCACAGGGCTGGGGGTTTCCATCGTCCCATGACCAAGGCCTCCAGGGGAAGTGGGATGCCACTGCATTAGCAGTGTCCACTGGGAAAGCGCAGATGGGCCCTTCGTACTTCTCCACCTTTTCTGGGAGACAGAGACACTGTCTTTGGGTATATGCTCCCATAAAACAGGAAGCCTGTCCAGGCTTGAGCCTTGGAGCCAGACCGATGTCCTGGACCTGCAAACACCCCTGGTCCAGACTTTATGCTTCCTGCACACACTCAGTTGGCGTTGAAGGTTTTAAATCTCCATCAGAGACACGCGGCTGTGTCTGCTACAGCATTATAGAGTCAGGTTGCCTCTGAAAAGCCATCCTGTGTTAGATGAGGGGGGAGCCAGGCTGCATCATCAGCCAGGGTGGGCCATGCTGATGCAACCCCTGGAGAGAGCCAGGCCGGAGAAGACACAGGGCAGCTCCCGCCGAGGGACAGCGGGTGCCAGACCCAGGACATGGACAGCGGAGTTCACAGTTTGACAGCTGATCATAACAACAGCCTGTACAGCAAGGTCAAGGCACAGGACCCTATCCACCCTGCCCAGGAGGCCCTTGGAATGTTTCTCTGGTTGTAACCCTGGAGAAAATCCAGGTGGCCAATAAACATGAAAAATGCTCAACGTCATTATCATCAAGGAATGCAGAAGACACCCACCGTGAGGGCCTCTCCACAAGTGCCACTTGGCAAGAATAAAAACTGGGCAGTGGCCAAGTCGGCAGGGACTGGCGTGGCACCGGACACCCCCTTGCCGGAGTGAGTGTGCATGGAACAACCTCTCTGGAAAGCAGCTTGGCATCTGATAGTGACATGGAAGATGGCCGCTCCCTGTGTCCCAGCAGCTTCACTCTGGGTGCGTGCCCCGAGAAGTCTCTTAGCCGGAAACCCCCCCGGGGCAGGTGGTGAGTGGGCCCCAGGTCCTGGAGGTTGTCACCCAGCCCAGTCTCTGGCTTCCTGCAGGTGATGAGGCTGCCCTGGTACCAGCAAAGGACATGGATGAGGGATCAGGAATAGCAGTGGCTGCAGGAGGGCTGGATGCCGGGCCTTCCGGAGGCCAGTGGTGCCACCCAAGGACAGGGGCAGGCTTGGAGATGAAGACGGTGCAACCGGTTTGGGCCTGGGGGCAGTGTGTCTCCTGGTCCCTAGACTCTCCTGAGTTTTAAGGAGGCTTCTCATCCCTTTCACATTCAGAGAGCACCTCCCCGGCATTTGTGGACTGGGTGCTGGGCTTGACCCAGGGATTTGTGAGGTGGGTGGGGTCCGTGTTGCCGCCGAGAGTAGCCCACGGCTCAGGGGTGCCCTGTGAGGAAGCAGATACTCCCACTGAGCCCTGCTGGGTCCATGTGAGGCTGCTACCCAAACAGCACTGAGCCGCAGACAACTGGGAAGCCAAGGAGAGCTTCGTGGTGGGCAATAGTTATGAGTTGGAGGGGGGCACTTTAGGGCCGGGGGGAAGACCCCCAACAAGGTACTCTGCAGAGCCTCCCGGGCCTGGGGGTCTGGCAGGTTGAAGGAACCTGCCGGCGGGCCTGGAGATTGTCGACAACTGTTCTCAGCAGTAATCTGGGTTTCAGGTTGGCAGTTCCTATTAGAATGCTCCAAGGTTGAAAACATTAATATCTAAGAGTACATTTGAAATCTGCAAGAGTGATCCATGGGTCCCCGTGGGTCCCCGTGTAACCCTGGCTCACACACTGTCTCTGAAGGAGGGCTGCGGGGTGTCTTCAAGGCACAGAATCTCCTGGCTGGGCACCTTTTGCCATAACTGGACGAGGGTCCTCCGGTGGGGAGCCAGCCCTGCCCTCTGAGACCCAGAGACTGGCTGATGAGGGGCTGCCCTGGGGAGCCGCCCGCTCTGAGGGGTGCCCTTCCTCCCAGCCTGCGCAGGGTAGAGCTTGCGCCTGCAGGATCCCTATGGAAGGACAGCTCCTTCCTGTCCTGCAAGGACCATGACTTAGGTGACCCTCACCCTCAGGCGTACCCCACATCCCACCCAGGCAGCGCCTTTCCGGGGAACGGAGAGCGGTGGGGTCCCAGGGCCCCGCACAGAAGGCTAGGTTGGTACTCGGGAGGTAGAACCACCAGAGGCTGCCCAGCAGTGACAAGGTCAGGCCGCGTTGGCAGTGGCAGGGACAGCTGCCGTGTGGGAAGTCATGATGCCTCCGGCCTGCCAATGGGCCCTCTCGGGTGCTGGGCGTGTGGGTGACCCAGAGGTAGGGCTACAGACAGGCGTCAGTGGGCGCTGGGGCCGGCTTTACTATTCATAGCATGTTACCTCCTTCTGAAATGTCTGCCTCAGCCAGTGATGCTCTTGTCCATCCTGCGCAGACCCTGTGGTGTCCCCGGGCCATGCAGGGCCGGCCTGGCAGCAAGGCTCAGAGCCCCAGCATCCTGGAGATGAGCACCAACATGCAGGATGCCCACGTGGCTCCCGTCTGTTGGGGTGGCCCAGGGGGGTGGGGGTGTCCCTGGGATTCTGGATATGTCCTCATGGCTCCAGTCTGTCGGGGTGTCCCCTGGGATTCTGGTGGAGATGGACTGAGGAAGTCTGAGCAGCAGGTACAGGCTTCCCAGTCTCTCATCCTTGTTCCTGCTGGTTCACTAGCCAAGTCTCGTCCCGTCCGCCCTCCTTGGGCCACGGCTTCAGGCAAGGGAGGGTCATTCCTCCAGCCAGGGTGAACTGGAAGGGTGGGTATCAGGTCGCAGAGGACAGGTGACCATGGGGTCCGTGGTTCAGGGTCCCCCAGCACTTGGTGAGACTCCCCCCAACCTTGGTGTGCCAGGAGAGCCAGCAGCAAACCTCAGCTCTGTCCTGGAACCCTGCCAGCTGAATCCTGCCTTCCCGGCAGAACAGCTGGGTTTCAGAGGGGCTGAGAGCGTCTTGTCCGTGAACTGGGGCTGCAGGCATGCGCCGGAAGCAATGACTCAGGACCCACAGATTCGCTCTATGAAGTCATGCAGACAGTCCCCCCATTTAGATGCTCCCACCATGAATAGGCACTGGGGCTCCCCCACACAGGGCATCTTCCACTGGACAGGGCGGTGGGGAGGGGCCTTGAACAGGAAGCCATGCCCTGTGAGATGCCCTGTGGGCACCCCTGGCCTGGGCTCCCTTCTCTTGGGGAACTCCCACAGAGGGGCAGCAGGTGCCAGACCCAGGTCATGGACAGAGAGTTCACAGGTGGACGGCTGATCATAACCACAGACAACCTCCAGGACCTGGGGCCACAGCTGCGTGAGCGGGCGCATGCGGCCGGGGGAGGCGGCCACCAGCAGGGCGTCAACAAGGCCCCTGCAGTGGAAGCTGGCTCAGACTCACAGTGTGGGCTAGCTTTCTTTTCCTAAATAGCACAAAACCACAGGGTCTCTGGGTTGTTTATTACCATGTGCCTGTGTGCGCGTGTGTGCACGTGTGTGTGCATGCACGCACTGCCAAGACACGCCCCTTTAATGGGCCCCACAGGCACGTCCTGGGGAGTCCCAGGGTGGTGCACAGCAACCCCTAGATTGAGCCAAATCAGAAAGACCTTTTATCCGTGACCCTCGGGAACACGGCAGGGAGATGGGGACATTGAGATTTCCGGGTTTGCTAGCCCCCTCCACACCCCAGTCTCATCCGCTTTAAAACTCCCAGACCACCTACCTTCCCCACAGGGGTGCACATATTTCTGGAAGCTGGTTGGCGGCCCTCTGCTCTTGCATCTGCATGAACCCCATGGCCCCTTCTTCCTGAAACAGCTTCCAAAGGGCTGTGCTTCCCTCACCCATCTACCCCACAGAAAGAGCTAGAAGGGCCTGGGGGTGATGTGCAGGTCCAGTCCCGGGGTCCCCCTCCCAATACCCCACCCTGCTGAGCCCAGAGGCTTAGCAAGATGCCCACGGGAGCCACTCCCTGATTTATTTTCTCTCTCTCGCTCGCTCTTTCCTTCCTTCCTTCCGCTCCTTGTCCCCTTTGCCTGCAGTTGTGGGTAACCCTTGCAATGCAGGTGGGGTAAATTCGAGGGCAGGAGCTAGGAGACTTTTCATGACCAGACAGCTTGGCCGCACTCGCAGAACAGTCCTGTGTGCTGGGAGGGGTGGGGCGGCTGAGGCTGGAGGCAGGAGGGAGCTCAGTCTTCTGCACCATCTCCCCTGCTCCCCCTGCTCCCCAGCCCCTCTCCTGACCCCACCTGCGTGCTCCCTCCAGGCTCCGGCTCCCCCCGTGCGGGCCTGTGGAGCACAGACACAGAGAGGTGACTAGGGCGTCGAACAGCAGGCCAGCTTAGGGGCTGGAGATCCAAGGGGTCTGATGTGTGGGAATGTGTGTGTGCACAAACTCGGGCACATGTGTGCGTGAGCGTATGGGCGTATATGTGTGAACACACGTGGGAGTGTGTATGAGTCAGTAGGGGGTGTGTGTGAGGGTGGGATGGCACAACTGTGCATTTAAGTGAAAGTGTGGGTAGTGAGTGTGTGTGTGGGTTGTGTGGGTTGTGTGGCTCGACCACGGAGGGTGCATGAACCCGTTGTACCAGTGTGTGTGGAGTGTGGACATGTGTGAGTTCAGGCCTCTGTGACCGTGTGAGAGTCATGTGTGTGAGTACACGTGTGTGCCAGGATGTGTGCATGCACAGGGGAGGTGTGTGCACGCACAACGATGCACCAGGGTGTGGGTGTCAGGTGCATGTGTGCGTGTTGGTGACACAGTCACCACAGAGCTTGGTCAGATCCCAAGGGGGAGCCCAGCACGGGGAGGTCTGGGATCGGGCTGTGCAGGAGGGACCACAGTGACTCCGGGTCCTCTGTGTGCACTGCCCGGAGCTCAGGTCTGGGCCGCGGCTCTGCCATCATGTCCGGCGTTACCGTGTGTCACGTGGTCCCGTGGTACGCTCACACCACATTTGCTCTGTTGCGGGCACCACGGTGCTTCTGTACATACTGACTCATCTCCACCAGTGCCTACACCTTGCTCATCTGTGTATGACCTAAAAAAGTGAAGGCCGTCAGCATGCCCACTGAGCCACGTGTGTGAGCCGGGGGGGTTGGGGTGCGGGGAACCCGGCTGGCCCCGGGGGCTGTGGGAGGCCGTGATTTCTGGGACAAAGAACCAGGTCCCGGCCCCCGGGGCCAACACCTGCTCCTAATAGCACGCTGGTCATTCTGCCAAATGCTCTGTGGCTTCTGGCATCCAGGGGACTGTGGGGCGGGTGACTTGCTGGGTGGTTTTTTTAAAGCCTTGCCCACAACCCCGTTTCTGACGTAAAGTGAAACACCGCCACGCGTTGTCTGCTTCCCTCGAGTCAGTTTCGATGCCATGGCGCCAGGCCTTTCCCGGGGAGGAAGGCCTGCTGTGGCCCGGGTCTGTCCCCACACCTGCTTCAGCTGTGGCCTGTCTTGGCAGGAGAACGTGTCCCTGGCCGACATCCTGTCGCTGCGGGACAGTGGCCTCAGCGAGCAGGAGGCGTGGGCCGTGTGCCTGGAGTGCAGCCTGTCCATGAGGAGCGTCGCCCACGCGGCCATCTTCCAGACCCTGTGCATCACGCCGGACACTCTGGCGTTCAACACCAGCGGGAACGTGTGCTTCATGGAGCAGCTCAGCGGTGAGCCTAGGGCGGCGGCAGGGGTGGCAAAAGGTGCCTTTGGGTCGAAGGTGGACACAGGGTCCCGCCCCAGGCCCCCCGATCGCAGCGGCTGCCCTGGTGGGATCTCCAGCCCCAAGAACTGCTGAGGGAGAAGGAGGTGGGAGGCTCCCGCAGGCTGTGTCACGGCTCCTGCAGGGGACCCGTGTGGGGCCCGCCAGCCCTGGAGCCGCCGGCCCGCAGTGAATGGTTGTGGGCCGTGAGGCCGAGGGCGTGGTGGCCAGCGCAGGAGGCCTCCGCTGCCTGCCCAGCCTCCAGGGTTCCCGCAGCCCCTCCCCTGCTCCAGGGAGGGCCAGAGACGGCCCGACTTTCCCCAACCTGTGCCTTCAGTCCCCTTCTCTGGAAGGCCGGGAAAACCCTTCTCCTTCCTCCTTGGACGGCTTCCCCGGGCTTCCCGTGAAGAACGAGGTCTTCCTGTTCAAGCACTGTTTCCTCTGACCCGGTCCCCCGGGGACGCCAGGACGGAAGGGGGTGGGGGCAGGAAGGGGCCCCTGGGGAGCGGGAGGCCACAGCTCCTGCCCGCCTGGCTGGCGGGCTTCCTCCTCACCTTTGGGCCTTGTGCGTGTGTGATCAGAGGCCTTCTCTTTTCCTTCCCCAGATGACCCCGAGGGCGCCTTTGTGCCCCCCGAGTTCGATGTGACCGGGAACACCTTCGAGGTGGGTGGCAGCAGGCGGGGGCACCCACGTGCAGGGCACAGGCTGGGCTCGGGGGCCTGCCTTCGGGGCACCCCCACCTTTGTCAGACTCAGGGTCCCCGGCAGCACCGTCAGCTCCAGTGGCCGCTTGGTGTGTGGACGCGTGCTTGTCATTATAGTTGTCGAGTATGTTTCCCGAGTGTGAACGTCACTGTATTTTACATGTTAAAAGGGCCTGAAGTTGCTGGTGGTGGCTGGTGGGGAAGCGCAGCGTCTCCGAGGGCAAGAGCGTGGCGGCGGGATGGCAGCACCCGGCAGAGACACGTGGCCTGTGGGCGATAGCCCAAGGCAGCCACGCTACCTTGCTCTGGGCTCAGGTCACCACCCCCCGGGCACCCCTGTGTGCATGCCAGGGAGCATGGCTGGGGGGCACCAAGAATGGGCTGGAGGACCCCGCCCGGCCCACCTCTCCCCTGAGCGCCGCGCTGGGCTCCCCCGGATCGCCGTTCACAGCTCCCACCTCCGTGGAGCCTGCAATCTGAGATGGGCGGAGAAAAATCAATCGTTAACGAGTAATTACAAATTCAAAAATTTCAGGGAAAACCTATTAGCTTAGTGACATTAGGTTAAATTTTAACCCCAAAATAAGAGTTTGGGGATTGGCTCCCCCTCTGCTCTATTTTACTTTACCTTAAACTAGCATCCAGCCCCTTGCTCTGAGAGGCCCTCGTCCACGCTCCGGTGGCACCACAGGGCCCTGGACCACTGGTGGATTGGGTCTCTGATTCCCTAGAGTTCGGGGGCCAGAACCAGAGCCCGGGTGGTCTTTGGCTTGGGGCAGCTCCCAGCCCTGGTCCGTGCACAGACTTCCTTAGTTTACCTGCATGTTTAGCACCAGAACTGACGTGAAATTAAGCCCTGGAATAACGAACATCCTCCCAGTGCCGCCCGCCTCCGTGCCACCGGGCTGTTCCTAAAAGCAGTGTTGTTTGGTGTGTGTTGGTTTTCACATCTGAAGAAGAGTGTCCCTACACGTTATCTTCTGGAACTTTCTCTTACGTGTTTCTGGACGATGCGCCTGAACCCAGTAGGAGGTCACGTGTAGCCCAAGGCTCATGGGAGCATTGGTGCCGCCCTGCACACCCTTGGTGGATCTGGGCAGGAGCTCCTCCCGTGTGTGGACCCGGCCATGGGACAGCCACACAGCAGGACAGGCGGTGTTCCACGGTCTCCAACGGTGGCTGCACCAGAGCACGGTCCTGCCAGCAGGTGCCACAGACCCCCAGCTCCACGTGGCTGAGAAGGCCCGTTTTCCATGCAGTTGTTATGCTTTTCTTCATATATTTCCACCCATTTTGTCAGGATGGCAATGTCTCCTCTGCCATGTGTCTTCACGCTGTCCGTAAGACAGCGAGCGGTTCTCAGGACCCTTCAGTCTCCTGAAAATGAGTAGTCAGAGAGCTGTCCGTGGTGCAGGTTACGCCTACCAGTGTGTTATAGATTAAACTGAGACACCTGCGAAATGCTTACCTATGAGTTCATTTAAAAGCAATAATAAGCTGTTGCATGTTAACACACACAACATATTTTTATGAAAAATAACAGTATTTTCCCCAAAAACACAGTGAAAAGAGTAGGGCTGTTTCAAGTATCTGTCCACCCTTTAATGTGGGGCTCCATGGAAGCCAGCTGGTTTTCAAGGCAGCTCCGCCCTTGGTGAGGTCCCGTTGGGGTGTCCCTGGGGCAGAGCCTCTGGAAGGTCCGGGGTCCACTCGGCTGGAATGAGAGCGTTGCTCTGGCGTGCTGAGGGTCAGGAGGGCCACTCAAGGGCCTCCTACGAGGGAGGAGGTCTCTCCAGTTTAACGGAGTCAGGTTTACTCATGTTTTCTTAGTATTTTTTGTACCTTAAGAGACCTTCCCAACTCCAAAGTCTAATGGAGGTTTGCTGATATCTTCTACTAGGAATTTAAAACTTTTGTTCTTCACATTCAAACTGCCTAAAGATGACTCTCCTCGGTAGTGTGAGGTAAGGACCGGGTTTCCTCCCTTTCCGTGTGGATCCCCATTCCCACGGGTGCTGGCCCCAGGCGCACACACAGCAGGCCCAGCAGCAGGGTGGCCCTGGCCTCTCGGGGAGGACGCCCGCTCCTGTCCTTCCTCAGAAGTGCCCTCACTCTTCTTGGCCCTCTGTTCTTACACATAAGTGTTAGAATGAGTTATCCGGTTCCATGAAAAGCTGTTGGCATTTTGACTAGAATGGCACTGAATCTATCGATCCCTTTGAGGAGGAGGCAATCTTTATAATATAGGGTCTTCTGCATAAACCCTTTTACCTCCTCACTTAGTCAACACCTCAGTAACATTGAGTACTGTTTACTGTAGGAGGGTTACCCTTTATTAGTTGATTCTCAGGAATTTGGTATTTTCTGCTTACATTCTAACTTGGAGGTCATCTTTGTGATTGCATTTTTCTGCTTGTTTGTTGCTGGTCTACAGAACACAATTCACTTTAATATCTTAATCTTCTGTCCAGCCATAGTGCTGAATTCTTTTGTTATTTCCCATAACTTACAGGTTATTTAGTTTTTCTCTCTAACTGACCAGATCACCAGCCCGGGCGAAGGTTTTGCGTCACATTTCCACTGCTTGTCTTGCTGTGTGTCACAAAGCCGCTCACGTCACCAGCCGCGTGGTGTGGCCAACGCACCTCCTGCTTGGGGACATGGGCTCTGAAAGCAATGTTTCTCTCCTCGCCCTCAGCTAGGACGGTATGTGCTACACAAGGCTCTGAGCCAGTCATCATGCTCTACCGTGAACGTACCTTGGGTTTTGTGAAAGTGCTTCTGCATCCTTTGAAATGACCATTAAGATGTTTAAGATTTACGTACTTATTTTCTAATGTTAATTCAGTCCTTCTTGCTTAGAAAACCTAAAGTGGCCAGGTGTCTTATCTTTTTAATACACTGTCACGTTCGATCTACAGATGACTACCTTGGCGTTTTGTGCTGTTTCTGACCATGTCAGGGGCAGGACCATCCCAGGCTGTGCGGGCGCCCCTTCCTCTGCCCGTGAGAGTTTATGTAACAACGGGGTGCTCCATGCCCAAGGTCCGGTCACACTTACTCATCAGAACACCTGTCTCCTTCGAGGGAAATCTTTTCTTTGCTGCTCAAGTTTTAATAGTTACAGGATCAATCTGTTTTGTATTTCTCATTGAAAGCTCTCTGGTAAACTATATATTTCTGAAGTTTATCCATTTTTACTTTTTTTTTCAGTTGTTGGCAGTTGGTTGCGGCGTCCCTTGTTGGTCACTGCACTGTCTGTGGGACATCAGGGGACTTAAATTCTCTTTCCTTCACTTGTCAGTCTCACCAGTGGGTATTTATTTGGTTAGTTTTTTCAAAGACCCCACTTCGTACCACATGATCTTTCCTGATGTGTCTTTGTTTTCTTTTCCCACTGATTCTGCTGGTACTTTTCATTTTCTTTTCCTTGTTTTGAGTGTGGCAGGCGCTCCTTCTCTACTGTTCTACTGTGAATCGGAGCCTCGGCTTCCCTGTCTTCATTCTTTCTTCCTTTGTAACGTGAACATTTATATCCAAGGCCGTGAATTTCCCTCGAAACACGGGTTTTGCTGCGCCCTGTGAGTTTCGCCACGTAGCATTGCAGTCCCCTCTCCCTCTAAGCATTTCTTTTATTCCCACTGGGGTTTCTTCTTAGCCTGAGTTGTTTAGCAACAAGAATGGGTTGAGTTTTTCCTGACTTTTTAATGAGATCTGATACACATACCAAGACACGCACATGTCACAAGCATGCAGCTAGACGAGCTTTCACAGACTGAGCACCCCTAATCCAGCATCCAGATCAGGAAGCAGAGCATGCCAGCACCCTGCAGGGCACGGGGCCAGGCGGGGCCATGACGGGGTCCACACTCCAGCCCGTCCACAGCAGCAGATGGGGGCTCCCAAGTCTTTAATTCTTCACATCTCTGGAATTGTCCTACGATAAAGTTTTGTTTTCTGAGTTGCCTTAATTCCCAGTGGGTGATAGGTGATTTTCTCTGGTTTTCCACCCACAGAGCAAGCAAGTCCTTCTTACCTGACGCATGAAAAGGGCCTGCCGGTGTGCACTGCCACCTTGGGCCCAGTGTTTGCATGCATCCCCCATCAGGCCTGTGATTCCAGGGTCTCTGTTCTGCTCTTGGATGAGCTTCATTCCAGTGTCTGGTCCAGGGGCTGTGAGGACCCCCCGAAGTGCTGCATTGTGGAGACTACAGGAATAGTTGCACCTGTCACGTGGACTTATGTCTCCTCAGGTGCCCTTTCCTGCCTGCAACCTGGAGCCACAACCCCTTGCCCACAAGGACCACAGTGGCAAATGCGCCTTCTTGGTGCCACTCCCAGCAGGGGCAGCCCCTGCTGCTGTCGACCAGGCCACCTCCGGCCCCAACCTCTGGGTCTCTGGACAGTGGCAAGGGTGCAGCATGTTGGGTCGTGCTTGTTGGCCATGTCGAGACTGAGCCCACACCCTTGCCCACTGTCCCCCCTACAGAGGGGACAAAGATAGGGAGCAGTTTTCCTGAGCCCTCTAGTCCTCACACAGAACTCCCCCTTGTGACCCTGCCCCACCACCCCACCCACTGTTGGGATGATGTCTCAGCTCCCCAAATCCCCAGATGCATGGAAGCTGGCCCTCCTGGGACCATCCCCTGCACATCCCAACCCTTGCCCAGGAAACCCCAGAGATGGGCTAGTTTCCAAAAGCTAAAACTATGACCATGGCCAGCATTCAAGCCCTGCCCCAAGCAAACCCCAGACCCTCACAGGACTCTCCTCTGAACCTGGTCACCATGAGCATGTTCAGGCTCCAGTGGAGCCCAGCCAGGATGACCTCGACACCCACCACCCACCATTACTGTCCATTGTCACTTGTCCACAGACATGTGTGTCAGGCCTCACAGTAAACAGAGCAGATGGGCTCCTGCCTCATGGGGATCATGGTCTTCACAGGGGACAGACTTGA